AATCAATCTCCCCCTTTTTGTTCCCCTACCTACTGGCCAAAATAACCCCACAAAACCAGCCCACATCTCTGAATTCATCCCACCATAAGGACATGAATAAATGGCTATTATTCTTAACATGTGGAAGAGGAAGTTGCTTGTTAGTTTCTTTGTAGTTACATTCAATGTATTATGTGATCCCCCCCCCTTCCTCTTTATAAATTTGGCCATATGGCCTTTGTAAAAGACATCTTTGGAATATAAAACTTTGTTACTCTTTGAGTATTCTTAAAATAGTGTGATGCTATTTTAGCCAAATTCCTAATTCTATATCTTAAGAGTGGTTCTCTTGAGTGTGAGTTTTAGGTTCTAGTTATTTGGTTGAGTGTGTAATATCTTGATTAAATACTAGAGTTTAACCCCAAATTAATCTAGAGGTGAGCTTATCCTTTAGTATTAATTTGGCTCCAAATTAAGATAAGAGTGTGTTTATCTCTTATTTCTTATTTGGAATTTATCCCATCCTTTCTAAATCCACCTTTCTCTCCTGATTTTCCACTCTTCTTCATAATACTAAAAACCCAAAAAGAACTCCTGCCACATACTCCATATTTCGTCCAGCCCATTTCCCCTTTCATTTCTCCACAAATCCTTCATAAAATACCAACATGATAAGGCCCGTGTTGAGCAACGAAATCAAACAATTTCCTGAATTCTTCACTATTAGCAACATGAAACGGTATTCAATTGTTGAAAAAGAATGTAGAAATTGCCTCACATGCTTCTTCACACAAGTTCTTGAAAATTGTGTTCATTGTAGCTTGAGTGCTCGCCCCGTTTCTTGAAGAGATTGCTTGGATTCTTATTCTTTTTTCTTTCTTCTCTCGGCATCATCTCCTCCATATTCATCGACCTTAGTGTTCAACTTTTCTTGCAACAAAGCTAAAATGTCCCACATTTATTTTCAGACTTCGTCGCTTACGCTTCTACAAGGGCCAACATCCTTGTTAGTTCAGTTAAGGTAGCGTTCCGTTCAACTTATTTTTTCTGCTTATTACTTATTCTTATTATAACTAGTCAGATCAGACCAGATCAGATCAAAAATAGCTTTAATTATAACTGCAATCTGATCAGACCAGATCAGATCAGATCTTTAAAAAATCAGAACAAATTAGATCAGATCAGGCGAACGGAACGCAACCTAAGTAATGTTTCAAGCAATAGAGTGAATACCTTCTCCCAACATTTGCATTTGATTGTTTGGTTATCCTTGCTCATTGAAATGCCATGATCCATTGTAATAGCCGTTTTCATCCCGACAACATTCTTGTTAGTCCTTCGACCATTGTTGTCAAGTCGTCGCCTAGTCGCCGACTAGAGCGTTTTTGAATGGCGACTTGCACGTCAACTAGAGACTAGGGTAGACTTGGCGACTGGGCGAGTTAACCAACGCCTAGGCGACGACTAGTCAGTGAAGAAAACCTGGGCAATTTGATTCAATCCAATTTCACCAACCTGACCCAAATATCATTAAATTTATAAAATTACTCGATAAAACACAACATCCCTCGATCGGTTCAATCAGCACAATTGAAATCTAGTGAATCAACATTTAACCCTTCCCAAATCGCGACATTTCCTTCATCGACATCTTCCAGAGTTCCGGCAATTCCTGGATCAATTTTTTGGAATTGATTCTTCTTCATCTTCTAGGATTCACACGCTCTCTATCCATGAGTAAGATCTCTCTATCTTTAATTATTTATCACTAAAGTATACTCTTAATTTGGTTTGATTTCTTTACTTTGGTTCATTAAACTATTAAAGTAGATTATACTCTTAATTTTTCAATGGCTTACTGTGCTATCTTTAAACATAATTTTGCTTTGGTAATGATATTTTGTCATTTAAATTTATATAGTTAACTTGGGTGAATGTAGATATATATAATGTTAAAAGTTTCAATACTAATTGTGATTTGTCGACTAGTCTACGACTAGTTGGCCCACTAGTCGACTAGTCCACTGGTCTCCCCTTCCCCGACTCGACTTGACTTGTCGACTTAACAACCACGCCTTCGACCTGATCTAGACATTTTTTGATGCTTTGAAGCTTTTTAGTCATGTGACCTAGAAGTAAAGGCTCAAATCAAAACTCACCTTTGAAGCTTTTAGTCCTGTCACCGTCTCCAAATCCAAAACTGAGCTAAAGGAAAATAAAACCTTACTCAAGCTAGAGGAAAAGTAAAAAGTGCACGGGTAATATTGGTAATACTACAAAGAGAAAAAGTATACTGCAAAGAGAAAAAGTGTGCCTCAAAGAGAAGCTTTACGCGTTGTATCCTGCAAAAGGATGCCGTCCATACTCAGTTTACCTTATATTTCCCCCAAAAAAACTATTGTTGCAGGAGAGAACGACAAAGAGTTGGAAATAGCAGGAGAGGGGAAATGGAGATGCGATTTCATGAGAGAGGGGAGATGTAGATGCAAATTGGAAGAGGGAGAAGTGAAGATATTGGTAAATACTGAAGTTATTATAGAGGGAAGATTTGGGAAAATAGAGTCATCTTATTGTTTGAAGATGTTGAATGGTGCTTTGAAGAATTTTAAAGCCGCAGGAAACTGGTCGATAACGATTCAGGTGTGACTCTTTTTTTTTACCGCCGATCTTGTTCTAGATCGAATCATAGTCACTATCCAATGATTATATGTCTCGCCTCACCCATCCCCATCCATCCTGCTATTTTCTGATATGCCAGTAGCGATCTGGGTCGTGGAAGTAAACAGTGCTCATACAATTGTACGATGTTGTGATCCAAATCACGATCTTAATAACCTTGATTTTGAGTGTGGATATTTGGCACCACTCTCCGCAACTTATCCTCCATAAATGCCACTCCCATCTGTCCCGAAAGACTTGTTTTGGAGTTTATCCATTATCGTAAACACACACATCCACCTCAGCATCATCATCTCTACCACTAACATCTTCTGGACATGTTTGTTCGTCATCTGCCAATACTCCACTTCATACAACATAGCTTGTCCAACCATTGCTCGATAAAACTTTCCTTTCAGTCTTGCTGACACCTTGTTGCAGAGGACACCGAAAGCAAGCCTCCATTTCATCCCGCCCCTAACTCGACACAGTGGACAACATCCCCATTAATTACACCATCAGCTTGAATGATAGATTCAATGTACCATGTCCTATCCCTTTAGGTAACAAATTGTGAGTTGAGCTTCACGCCCATTTCTGACTTTGTTGGTTAATCGATGAAACTGCACTCCATGTACAGAGTCTTAGTTTTGTTTAGTCTTAAACCTTTAGATACCAAGGTACGCCTCCGCACCTCCAACTTATTATCAACTCCCAGCGTGTTTCATTAACCAAAGATAATATTTTCCGCAAATAGCATGCACCAAGATACCTCCCCATGCATATGGGGTGTAAGTTCATCCATCTCCAAGGCAACAAAATAAGGACTAAGAGTAGAACCTTGGTGTAGTCCCATTGTCACAAAAAACATCTGTGGAGAATCACCCTCACTCTAGTATTGGCTCCATCATACATGACCTAATTGCTCTAATGCATACTATTAGCACTACTTTGTGTTCAAAGCACCTCCGCAAGACCTCCCTGGGGACCTCTTTGATACGCTCATACGCCATCTTCAAGTTTATAAACACAATGTGAAAGTTCTCTGTTCACGTTCCTACACTGCTCCATCTATCTCCTCAAAAGGTGAAAGGCCTCTATAGCCGACCGTCCTAGCATGTATTTCGATTGGTTCTCGAAAACAGACACCTCCACCATCATTCTCACCTCTGCTACCCATTCCGAGACCTTCATGGTGTAGCCAAGCACTTTGATGCCCCTATGATTATTACAATTTTGGATGTCGCATTGATGCCTTTCCCTTTGTGCAATAGAATAATTGTGCTCTCCTTCCATTCTTCAGGCATCTTAGTCGTCTAGGAAATGACATTAAACAACTCAGTTAACCATATCAACCTCTCTTCCAGTAACCTCAGGTTAATAATCGAAATAAGAAAAAAAATAAGGTTCTGTTTACTAGCAGGGAAGATTTCTATTTACTCGAAAAAGAAAATATCATCATTCCTGTTTTCCAAAGTTAGGAAATAAAAAACAACAAGAACAACAGCCCAGTAGAAAACTTCCCTGCTAGTAATGTGCACAATCCCTACCAAGGCTCCCAGCATTTTTGGAACCTTCGCATGAAACCTTCTATAGTCAATGTAGTTTGTTTGTATATGAGTGTAGCTTTTTCTGCAGTCAGTTGTCATGTTGCGAGGTTTAAAAATGACGTGAATAAGTGTTATGCCTTTGTTTTATTTAAATTATGCCTTTTGTTTTATTTAAATTAGACAAAGATTTTTGTGTCTATAGTTAATGAACTGTACTGTTTTATTTAGTGTTTGATACTACAATTTAAGTCAGGAACATATATTGTGCAGTGGGCTGAGGGAGTTGAAAGTTTGGACTACGACAGCCGGTCAGATAAAAGTTTTGGAATGAAACAAAGGCCTGATGGAGATATTGAGATTGATGAGAAATTCTGGGAGGAGGATTTCGTTATTCCTGTTTGCCCAAAGTGCAATGGGCTACTGAAACCAAATGTTAGTCACTTTTCCTTTTCATTTTTGAGATGCCCGCTCTTCATAGACATTTTGGCCTTTTGGGGGAAACTTCAAGTATATGATCATAGAAAACATATGTAAAGCTGTGAAAATTGACATGTTTGTCCTTATATCTCGATTCTTAAAGATTTAAAGGTCATACTATGAAAGAGGGCTTGGAAACAACCTCCCTACATTCGAGTAGGGGTAAGGTCTACCTACACACACTCCCTAGACCCTGCTCGGGATCCAACTGGGTTGTTGTTGTTGTAATTTGAAAGAAGGGTTTGCTCTATAAATTCAATTGAAGCACTGTCAAAAGGACTTTTCTAGCTCATTTTGGGTATGACCATGGAGGTTGTAGGGGTACATTTACAGCAATGCAACAATGCTATTAAAATTTGGTTAAATTCTACGGTTAGCCAATTGCAGGTTGTCTTTTTTGGAGATTCTGTACCTAAAGGGAGAGCAGATTCTGCAATGCTAGCTGCCAAAGAATGTGATGCTTTTGTTGCACTTGGATCTTCTTTGATGACCATGTCTGCATTCCGGCTTATTAGGTAATAAGTTGTACTTCCTCTATCCCTAAAAAATGTCAAAACTTTAAAACTTTTTACGTTCACTAACACTTGTCAATTCGACTTTGAAATTTCTCCATATCCCTACTTTTTCCAATCTAGAAAGGGTGTGTTGCGAATGTTCCAATACAACAACAATAAAGCCTTATCCCACTAGGTGGGATCGGCTACATGGATCAAACGACGCCATTGCGTCCTTTCATGTATCATATTTGCTGTGAGATTGTTCACGCGAAGGTCTCCCTTGATCAATGCTTGCCAAGTCCTCTTGGATCTACCTCTTCCTCCAACCACATGCCAATTCACGGGACGCTCTATTGGTCTTGTCTCCACATGTCTAAACCACCTAAGACGAGTTTCCACCAACTTTTCTACAATAGGTGCCACTCCAACTTTAGCTCTCATACACGTATGACCGCTCATCCAATGAAGCATCTTCATTTCCGCCACACTAACCTTGTGTTCATGTTCACCCTTTGTTGCTCAACACTTTGTCCCATACAATATAACTGGTCTAATAGCAGTATGGTAAAATTTTTCCTTTAGTTTTAAAGGTATTTTTTTGTCACATATAAAGCCCGAAGCACTCCACCATTTTGACCAACCGGATTGAATCCTGTGATTAACATCATTTTCTATTTCTCCATTGTCTTGAATGATACACCCAAGGTATTTTAATCTCTTTACTTGTGGTATAGTATTTTCTCCAACTTTCACCTCGATGTTACTGTTTCTCCTTGTGTTGTTAAACTTGCACTCCATATACTTTGTTTTAGTGCGACATATACACAAGCTATGCAAATCTAAAGCCTGTCTCCACGGATCCAACTTCTTGTTCAAATCCTCTCATGATTCGCTCATAAGGATGATGTCGTTGGCAAAAAGCATGCACCATGGTATAGATTCTTGGATATGCTCGGTAAGAACGTCCAATACTAGTGTAAAAAGATATGGCCTTAACGATGACCCTTAGTGTAATCCTACATCGATGGGGAATTCCCCTGTTATCCCAGTTTGACTTCTCACGCTTGTTGCGGTACCATCGTACATGTCCTTAAGCGCACAAATATAAGCAATCCTTACTCCTTTTTTCACTAGCATCTTCCACAATACCTCTCTTGGTACCCTGTCATATGCCTTTTCCAAATCAATAAAAGCCATGTGCAGATCTTTCTTTTCACTTCGGTACCTCTCCATCATTCTTCTCACCAAGTATATAGCCTCTGTAGTTGATCTTCCTGGCATAAAACCAAATTGGTTCTCTAACACCGAAGTCTCTTGTCTCAACCTCTGTTCAACCACTTTTTCCCACAACTTCATCGTATCCTTCTGTAGTTTCCACAGCTCTGAATATCTCCCTTATTCTTGTAAATAGGAACCAAAATGCTCTTCATTCGTTAGGCATCTTCTTAGATCTTAAAATATCGTTAAAAAGCTTAGTTAGCAACCAAATGCCTTTTCCTCCCAAACCTTTCCAAACTTCAATCAAAATGTTGTCCGGGCCCACTACTCGGCTATTCTTCATTCGTTTTAGGGCTTCCTTAACTTTAGTTTCTCGAATTCTTCCATAATAATTGAAGTTTTGGTTCTCCTCCCTCGTGTGTAGTCGATTGGAGCATGCGATATTCACATGCTCCTCATTAAATAGATCGTTGAAGTAGCTCTTCCACCGGTCGTTTATGCTTTCATCGGAGTCCAAAACTTCACCATTCTTATCTTTAATGGACTTAACTTGGTCCAAATCCGCATCTTTCTTTCTTCACCCTTTGCAATTTTGTAAATACATCTTTCCCCTTCTTTCGTACCCAAGGACGGGTAGATCCCTTCATACGCTCTCATTTTTGCTTCATTTATAGCTACTTTTGTCTCCGTCTTAGCTGTCTGATACCTTTCCCAACGTTCCACATTACGATATAACTTGTTGCGGATGTTCCAATAATTATTATTAATTAATATCCAATCAAAAAGCCTAGATGATGATTCCCAATAGTAAATTCACAAGATCCTATGTGAATATTAATGGGAGACAAAAAAATTTGGTATTTCCTATTTTTTGTTCTTTCAAGATTTGACATTTTTAGGGACAGAAGAATTGTAGACCTAATCAAAGTGCGGGCCGGGCCAGGTCGGTTTGGGGTTGAGACTTTACATAACGAGAATTTTCTAAGCTTGAGTCTTGCTTGCAGGGAAAACACGGGCTTTGGTCCGGCCCGAATCACATTCCTAATTATTAGTAACTAATTAAAAACAGATTTTTAATAAAATAATATCTTATTCCAAAATATATTAGGTGTTTGATGTGTGTGTGTGTGTATACATACATACATACATACATACATAGGGGTGAGTTCTAGTGAGAATGGTCCTTGGTGAAAGAAATGAGAATAAATCTCATCTATTAAATGTGATGTATTGTGTGGCTTAGATTAAATATAAATGTTGCTGACCGATCCAATTTTGATAAAGAAGGGAATCGTGACAATCCACTAATATAGGGAGTAATAGCCTTAGGGTTAAATTAGGCATTGGAAAATTTCAAAGGAATCCGTAACTAATCAAACTTTCCTTTTAACCCTATTTAATGAAGAAGTTTATCTATCAACCTTTTACTATCAGTAATGAATCAAAATTTCCCTTATCTGCTTTGCTGCCCTCAACGGCAACACCCGTCTAATCTGAATGCACAATAATGACCAACAAATGCATTGTTATTTGACATTTAAGTTTTATTTTATTAATTTTTATTTAGAACAAGTGTAATATAGATTTAACAAATAGTTTGCCTATGCGGGATTCGAACCCACATCTGTAGTACATACCGCTCTACCACTTGAGCTAATAGGCAATCAATTATTTTTGTTCTAAAAGATTCATATCTTGCACTTGTACCACTCAAATACACATTTTAACATCTTAAAATATGCATCACTCAATGTCTCTTTATATAAACCAAATTGAAACGTATCACAAAACATTTAAAATGCATCACCGTTTGCAAAAAAAGCACTATCTTGAGTACACAAATGCATCAAATTTGTGTAAAAAGAATTTCACCTCAGATGTATCAACTTTAATTCTGAGAATGCACTATAACAAAATGAATTGACGAAACCTTTAAAATGCATCACCGTTTGCAAGAAAAATCACTATCTAGAATACGCAAATGCATTAAATTTGTGTAAGAATAATTTCACCACAGATGCATCAGCTTTGAGCCTTTGATTCTAAGAATGCACTACAACAAAATGAATAGTCATTATCTAAAAAAATTGAATTATCCTTTACGTTGTTTCTGAGAATGCATTGCTTTTTAATTTTAATGCATTTCCTCGATTCTAATAATGCACAATAATAGAAAAAAGTAGCAAAAAGTTAAAGAAGAAGAAAAATTAAAATAAGAAAACTGTCCATGTCAAGCCTTAAATTTCCAACCAAAATCAGAAAAAAACAAACCAAAAGTAAAAAATAAGAAAGAAAATAAAAGTAGCAATGTACACAAAAATAAAGGAATTAGCAAAAAATCAATAAGTTGTGCTCATGAATAGATACGAGTACATGCGAAAACAAATTGCATCATAAAAGAAAACTAGATACTCCGGGTACATCATGCAAGTTCTCAAACAAAAAGCACAAACAAAATAGGACAAAAGTTAAATCAAATGCACACATCTATTTATTTAAAAATGATGCATTAGATATATAAACAATAGTGTACCCAAAAAAATAGACAATTAAATTTTAAAGATGCATCCAATTAAACAATTTTGATGCACTTCTGTAGACAAATACTCGAACTTTAATAAAGATGCATCATGCAAGTCCACAAACAAACAAAATAATGGATTTGAGAAAAATATGATGCGTACATCTACATAAATGCAGTTTTACATTGTAAAAAAATTAAAGGCATTAGATAAATATTGGAATGTTAATATTTGAATTTGAAATGGAAAAAAATATCATAAAGGAAAGATGAAATATATGCATCGGTGCTTAGAGATATATAAAATCAAATTGGTGTTTAAAAAGAGGGTTGATCATGAAAATAAAACATAATATATTCTTAAAAAAATTATGAACGTACATCAACAAACTATTTAATTAACCAAATTACGGCCAATACTTGAAATGTTAAAATAACCCTCAAAATTGAAATTGAAGAAGAGGAGTAAAGGATACTGCAGATTTAGGCGATGCGGTGGGCGACGATAAATGACTTCTGGAGTTTTGGTGAAAAGTCTGAACCGAATGAAGTGCAGAGCAGCAGAGGAGATCTTTATCCTCTTGGAAATGATTTTAGCTAGAGGCATGGAAATAGGACTAATTGAATGATATACTAATAAGAGGATTTTTCGGAAATAGACGGGAGAAAAGTACAGTGAGACACGATTGGGATGTGTAAAGCCCAAAATGCCCATGAGGACTTAGCGCGAATTAGAAGAGTGAGCATCAGATCTAACGGTGGTGATTCATTCTTTTTTCTTTCACTAGATCTCATTCTCACCGGAACCAAATTCTACATATATATATATATATATATATATAGGTTTAGGTGAGAATGCGATCTTATGAAAGAAATAATAATGATTTTGGTGCTTTAGATTGTGAGATCTAAGGATCGGGATTGCATCAAAATTAGGTGCACCAAAATGATTTGAAAATGCATCATGTCAAAATGCATTAAAATCCTTTAAAAATGCATTATCTCAAAATCTGAGTGCAAGATGCAATCTGAGCCGCACGATGCATCAGATCCAAAGGCTAGATTTTATTCTTATTTCTTTCACCAAGGTGCATTCTCACCTGAACCGCTCCCTATATATGTGTGTGTGTGTGTGTGTGTGTAGGGAGAGAAATGAGAATAAAATCTAGTCATTGGATCTGATGCATCGTGCGGCTCAGATTGCATCCTGCGCTCAGATTTTGAGATAGTGCAGGGATTTTGGTGCATTTCGACATGATGCATTTTCTAACCATTTTGGTGCACCTAATTTTGATGTAATCCCGACCTTTAGATCTCACAATCTAAAGCACCAGATTCATTCCCGTTTCTCTCCTAAGATCGCATTCTCACCAGAACCTATATATATATATATATATATATATATATATATATATATATATATATATATATATATATATATATATATATATATATAAAATTGTTTAAAAAAATTTAGCACATTAACTGGGGGAGAAAACATTGAAATAATATGCATCGATAGTGTTTCACGTTGGGATATTAGTATATAATAGTATATTACAACATATAACTGTATGTATTTGAGATGCAGAAGATAAAACAGATTAGAGAGGTCGATGAAGATGATAACTAAAATCCAATGCCAAAGTAAAGAGGACAACCACGACAAATTGCATTTTGTTAATTATTAATTACTCCGTATATTTTTACCATTAATCTTAGTATCTATAATATAAATATCAATTGGTCAGGCCTGCCTGGCCTGTGGGCTTGGCCTGGCCCATAAGTTCATGGGCCCCGCATATTACGACTTAGGCTACATTCTCTTCGGCTGATCTGATCTAATCTGAAATAAATTCTTAAGACCCGCATAATCTTATCTAAATGGATCATATTTGATTTGAATGGATTTGATCTGATCATAATAAAGTTGATCTGATCTAATTCAAATCCAAATTCAATTTATTATTATTGTTATTATTATTATTGTTATTGTTATTATTATTATTATTAGTATTATTTAAATTCAAATTCAAATAATAATGATAATTATTATTATCATCATCATCATCATCATCATCATTATCATTATCATTTGAATTTGAATTCAAATAATAATAATAATTATTATTATTATTAGTAATAATATTATTATTATCATTTCAATTTGAATTCGAATTCACATAATAATAATAGTTTTATTTTTATTATTTGAATTCAAATTCTAATTATTATTATTATTATTGTTTGAATTTGAATTTAAATTACTATTATCATTATTATTATTTGAATTTGAATTCAAATTATTATTATTCTTATTATTTTATTATTATTATTATTATTATTATTTATTTTTTTAATACGTTTCTGATTTGATCTAAATGGATTTGACATGATCTAATCTGAATAAATATGATCTGAATGGATTTGAATGTATCTGATATGATTCCAATAAGAGTAAGTAATAAGTAGCAGAAATATGTTGAAAAGAACAAGGCCTTACAAGCTTGCATGTACCCCAAAATTATGACTTGTGGGCTGGCCGGATATGGGCCCATCATCAGATCCGAGGCTCTTCAACTTATTTCTGTTAGTTATTTCTTATTTTTGTTATAATTAGCTCAAAACCATTCAGATCAGATTCATTCAAATCAGATGCATTCACATCATATCCATTTTATTATGTTTTTCTTTAGTAAATTATGATGTTAATAATAATAATAATAAATATTATTATTATAAGAATTCAAATTCAATTAATAATAATAATTATTATTATTATTATTATTTGAATTCAAATTCATATAATAAGAATTATTATTATAATTATTATTATTATTCTTTAAATTCAAATTCAAATAATAATAATAATAATTATTATTATTATTATTATTATTATTTGGATTCAAATTCAAGTTCTAATAATAATACTAATAGTAATAATGATTTTATTATTATTTGGATTCAAATTCAGATCGGGTCAGACTTAAAAATTTCATTTCAGACTAGATTCGCCAAAGAGAACGCCTAAGGAGTATTTATCATCTCTCGACTCCTTCCAAGATTTGGGCAAGGGGAAGAGAAATAAACTATGCTGACAACATGATTTTGGGGAATTTGTACTTGCTGTCTCCAAATTGTTTGAGAGCATGTGATATGAAATGTTCCTTTCAATCTTTGTCAATTTAATCTCTCAATTGTTATAATTTGAATATAATTAAGGAACACATGAATACTCTCATGTTTGACCGATTATACGATATTAGTCCCAATTCTCTTTTACATGCCAATACTTCGAGAAATCACTATTTTTTACATCGCTACTCTAGCTCGGCTAAAATAGATTTTGGGTTACTTACATAGAATTATTTTGGCTGACATGACATCTGAAATAATGAGTTGGTAACACATCTAAAGGAATGGAATTAAATTGGGCAGCATGTTGACTTTTTTGAATATCTTAATAAAAGGACCCTTAATGAACCCGGTGAAATCGTCCGTCTTCTTCCCTAGCGTGAAAGCAACTCAGTTTAAGAGCTAGACGAAGGTAAGGATGAGGGAGAGGTATTGTGAACGTAAAATAAGGAAAAAGCGATAAAACTTAGTACGGCGGTAAACACGCGGTGGGAGGAGACGAACTAGCTGGGGATGAAGACAAATGATTTCACTAGGTTCAATTAGGCTTCTTTTTCTAAGTTGCTCAAAAAAGTCCAAATGACGCTAGATATGTTGCCAAGTCATTATTTCTGATTCCATGTCAGCCAAGATAATTCCTCGTTATTAAGCTCGAAGCTGATGTAGCGATGTAAAATTTATTGATTTCTCAAAGTATTGACTTGCAAAAGAGAATCTGAGATTAATATTTTTTAATCGGCCAAATATGAGTGTATTTGTGTGAATATTTCCTATAATTAATAACTCTTGTTACTTCATTAAATTTTTGGCTAACTGAAATGCATTCTATATTGTTGAAAATGCTTTCATAAACCTTAATACTACATGATGGTCTTACAGGGAGGGACTAATTGTATCTCAAATATCTAAAAGTATACAATAGGAAAAACTATTGAATGATTCAACATATATAGGATAAACCTTCATATTTGGTTACACAGAACTGCATATGAGGTTGGGGCCGCCACTGCAATTGTAAACATTGGTGAAACACGAGCTGATGATTTTGTACCTCTGAAAATCAAAACTAGACTTGGAGAGGTAATGTTCCTTCATTTTTTTTCCGTGCTTCTATTTACTTGCACCATTCACTTATTTCTATTAAAGCCGTATTTTTTTCAGATACTTCCAAGATTGCTTGACGTCGGATCCATTGTTTTCTGATTGGGAACCTGGGAGGTATCAATACTCTTCTAAGATGGACTGGTTACATTTATGTTGTCTATTGTTGTACAAGCCCATCGTGTTCATCTGCTTTGTTACAATTAGGATCCTTAACATTCCAATTGTATAGTCATTGTTCTCATGAGTGAGGTAAGCTCTGCGTACTTACGTCTTACCCTTCTCATACCCCTTTGTGGGATAGCACTGGGTTTGTTGTTTAGTCCAAAACGAATGCAGATGTATTTTATTTTTTAACATTTCTTTATATTTATTGAGCTTTCATGCTTTGTTACTTAAAAGATTTTCCATCATTTATTTCCTTTTTTTTGGTTTTCCAATGAATGAATGAAACCATGGAAACCATGTTGCAAATACATCATTATGTCTATTCTTTTATATTTTTTTAATACAAATATTTGATTCTCTGAAATGTGAGTTGAAAGAGGTCATGGAAATGCTGATTGAGAAATGTAAGTAATGAAGATAACTGGATAAAAAAGTTTTTTTTGGTTCCACCACTATTATGCTACCCTCAATTGTAGCCCCCAATTTCCAATATTTATACGTTTAGTGCATGAGTATAAACTTATCAAAACTTTTAGTCCTTACATATACACAACTAATAGGGACATGTCACGGATGTTCACTGTCATGTTGTGATACACCAATGAAGAATCTATATGACTTGTCTTGAACCATAGAACTCACCAAGACATTTAATTCTTTAAACCATAAAAGTGGTTGGAACGACCAAAAGTGGTTGGAACGACCAAAAGTGGTAAACAATACCTAGTCATGGACAAATGGTGAAAAAGAATGAATGCCGGGGACAAACAGAGTGAGGTGGCTCAATAGTAATGATAACAAAGGGAATTCATTTTGAGGAGCATTTAGCATATGCAGGTAGTTAAGTGGTGGTATGTGATAAATAAGCAATATCTACTTGTTCATAATTAACCAGGAAAGGAATACAAAGTTTAGTAGTAATAGGCAGGTGGTAGAAGTGAATGATTGTTGATCATAATGGAAATATGCCTTCCAGAATCTTGGCTTTAATGCGTAAAGTAATCTTACATCATTCTTATGATGTAATCTAAGAGATTTAATTGTATCGACATAGATACAGTGGTTTGCTATAATCAGGCCTTTAACACTATGTTTGGTTCAAGGAATTTGGAAGGAAAAGAAAAGAAAATGGTTTTCTCTCATTTTCCTCACCAAAATGGGAGGAATTTGATTTTCCCTTCTCTTAATATATTTTGTCTTCTCATTTCTTTTTCCTTCCACTTTTCTTTTCTTTTCCTCTCTATCCAAACAAGAAATGTTATTTTCCATCTCATTTTCATTTCTTTTCCATTTCAAATTCCTTGAGCCAAACATAGTGTAAATGTGATTTGTGATATATGGATTAATACATTTTACAGTTACACATTGTAGCAGAGCCATCTAATTTTTGACTTCTTTTTCTTGGTTTGAACATTTTCCTTTTCATTTAGCACTTTTCTCTGGAAGTAGTAAACAAAATCTGAACCCACTGCCAGACCCATCTTCTCATTGCGACTCACCCGCAAAAACCTCACTGTCATCTTCTGAAACGTTACAATTCTATTTTCTAGACAGCGACAGTTTTACATTTTGTTTCAGATCTACTATTTCAAGGAGCACTCTGACCAGGTTGTTCTGCCTGTATTCCATAGCTCTAATGGCCTCTAGTTCTACCTTTCTTCATAAAACTAGTGACACTAAGGATAACTGTATAAGTGCTGGGAACTAAAAGCGAGACCGCTAAATTTAGTCAATGCTGTTCGAATTCCACCATCTCTGGTTGTAATGTCACCAACCAAATTTGAAGAATATCAAAGTTTGATGTCTCTATTCTTTCAAGATGTATGCCTATGGCATGTGTTTTCAACACTTCCAGATTATGGATCCCTGATTCAAGTGCTTCTCATCGTGTGTCTTGTAATTGTTATGGTTGTTATATATATCTAACCTCAAAGTTTACCATTAATCACTCTTGCTAACAGTCTTCAAGCACGAACAACAGGCGTATGGCAGGATCTCCCACAGATCCCACTCATTTTTACCCATGGGCAATGTCTTTGAAATTTGGTAATTGCATGTTACTTTAAACTATGAATTATATATCATTTTTTAAGTACTGTAGACTTCATTTTTAATTTGGGTTGAGTTTTATACATGTTTGCATTATTAATATGGAATGTACTAATCATTTGTTCCTCAAACTTGACATGCTAAAAATGGGTTAAACCCAACTAAACTCAAACCTTACCTGATTGACTTGAGTGCTGAGGTTACACTGGTGCTATAAATTTAACTATTAAAAAATTAAACACTTGTAACCTATTTGGGCCGATCTGAACCCAAACAATTTGTCATGATTCATAAGAAGCATATGTGAACTTATATCGATACGACCCAAACCCAAAATTACCAAACTGAAGGCAACTTAATGACAACTCTCATCGTGTTAATTTATTTTCATACTTCTCTTCTTTTTCATAGCTCACCAAACTATTATTGGTGCATTGTCATAAGCATTCTCCTAATATTTGAAAACCAAGTGCAAACTTTATCCCTAATATGATAGTATTCCATCAATTGTCTTAAAATACGAATTGCCTCTCTTGGCTTTCAAGACAAAGAAAATTAACTATGGTCTAGATAGTTCAAAATAATATTTCAACTTCATCCAAAGGGTAAAGTAATGTTTGCACTTTCATAATTATCTGTCAATTCAACTAATGCACATAAGTGTTTGGTAGAAATTGATAAGCCATAAAAGTGTGAAAAATATTATTAGAAATGTACTTTTATGTTCATTGAATGAAATCCGACAAGACTACAATGCATTAGTTATTTTTCCATTTTTAGAAATGTAATATTACGGAGTAGGAGTTTTGCCTCACACTAGAGGGAAAGAATAAAGAAGCACACTGAATAGATTAGCAGTGATCCAAGACAAGAAAAGAATAATAGAATATGTAGGCCAATAAAGAATAAAGACAACACCTTTCTAAACCACAGTTTCCAAGTAAATGATTTACCTTTCCAAAGAATCTCAATGACTTCTAAATGAAGAAAACAGGATCCCCAGTGGCCCATCTTCAAAATTTTCTTTTCTGGGCCTTCATTTAGTCTCACTGCCAATTCGTACATTTGAACCGTTGTGCTGATAGATCGAGAGAGAGAGAGAGAGAGAGAGAGAGAGAGAGAGATGTCGGGAAGAACAATGGTGATGATGGCCATCCTTGTGATGGCCTGCGTTTCTTTTGTTTCAGGATCCACTGATAATCAGATTGAGCACCAAAAATGGTGGAAATGGAGGTCATCTGGTTCCGATGGAGGATCCTCATCATCATCATCAGTGTACAAACAAGTAGAACCGTCATCTATTGTTCTACCGCTTTATGGAAATGTTTATCCCAAAGGGTACACTCCATTCTCCGCATCTCTCCGTTATGCATTTTGTGATATATACAGAAAGGAACAATTTTTTTGGTAACTGTATGAATTTTGCCTGATGATGTGATTATTCTGTATTTTCTCTATGGAAAGAATATGAATTGAAACATTTGATTATTTTCCTTTAAATCACACATGGTGCATTGCGATAGCTGAATATCTCTGTTACAGATTTTATTTTGTCCAAGTGGATATAGGACACCCTTCGAAGCCCTTTTTTCTTGATCCGGATACGGGCAGTGATCTTACTTGGCTTCAATGTGATGCTCCTTGTGTCCACTGTACGAGGGTAAAACTCTACCATATCACATTTCTACAACACAACAAATATACCACATGTTTCCCTTCCAAATGAGTGAATCTTGTCAATCCTTTAAATTCAGGCACATCACCCTTTCTACAAGCCCAACAATGACCTTGTGATTTGCAACGACCCCCTATGTGCATCTCTGCATTCAGGTGACTATAAATGTGAGACACTGGAGCAATGTGATTACGAGGTCGAGTATGCAGATGGTGGTTCGTCTCTTGGTGTCTTACTTAATGATGTCTTTTCTCTCAAGCTCAGCAATGGGGCTAAGGTTAACCCTCATCTTGCTCTCGGGTCAGTATCTTAATCTTATATGAATATGAACCAATAAATAATATTGTGAGGTCATTCTCCAGTATCATAAATTTTTGACTATTTTCTGTCACATACTGCGCATGCACCCCAGGAGATTTTTCTAAGGAATATAGACACAAACTTGTGTGTTTTAAATTTTTTATTTGAATCAGGTGTGGATATGATCAGATAGCTGGTGCATCTCACCATCCCTCAGATGGGGTACTCGGCCTTGGGAAAGGCAGAACCAGCCTTATTTCACAGTTAAAGAATCTGGGTCTGGTTAGGAATGTGGTTGGCCACTGCTTGAGTGGACGAGGTGGAGGTTATCTCTTCCTTGGGGACGATGTGTATGATGCCTCGCATGTGACTTGGACACCAATGTCACACGATTTAACGTAATGTGCCTTGTTTTAAAGGGTTTGTTTAGATGGATAGTTTTATAGAGGAAGGCTTGGGGTGGCTTAATATATATCTTGATAAACAAAATGCTTCTAAAAAATGTATCGGAGATGAGTGAAATGTTTGACCATTCCACATATTATGTTAATATTTGGAGTTCTTATAAAATCTCAAACTTATGTATCTATCTAGAATCAAGATATAGACTAAGCTCCCCAAACCCTTCCATGAATCCTTCCCATCCAAAAAGAAAATTGGTGAATCACCAGACTAAAAGACTATGGTAAACGACAGGAATCACTACTCTCCAGGCCATGCTGAGCTACTTTTTGGTGGTAAAAGTACTGGAGTAAAGAATCTGCATGTAGTGTTTGATAGCGGGAGCTCTTATAGCTATCTTAACTCGCAACCATATGAAGCTTTCCTTTATTCAGTAAGTTGTTACTCCCACTCTTCGTCCAGTGCATCTGCTTTTCAATTCCTGAACAACTCTTACCTAGTAAATAACAATGTCACCCCCTGTGCTGATAGGTGGAGAAAGAACTCAGGGGTAAGCCCCTACAAGAAGCGAACAATGACCCTACTCTTCCGTTTTGTTGGAAGGGAAAGAAGCCCTTTGTTAGCATCAGTGAAGTGAAGAAATACTTCAAGTCCTTTGCTCTCAGCTTTTCTAAGGGATGGAAATCCAAAGCTCAGTTTGAGATGCCCCCAGAGTCTTATCTTATCATCTCTGTAAGTACTTTTAAGTAATGCCCTATCTTTAATCTTTTTATCGATTTGGCTGCAAGGACTTTGATGACACCAAGAGGAGGAGAGGCTCCACCACTCCACCAGTTATGTCAGACCTGCCCTTCTCTTCAAGAAACTGGATTTTTCTAAAATTATATTCTTGTGTGCAGTCAAAGGGCAGTGTTTGCTTGGGGGTTCTGAATGGCACAGAAGCAGGGCTGCAGAATTTCAACATAATCGGAGGTATGATTGGTCATTCTTCAATGAAAGCTAAAAGAGGCATCATTTTAACAATGTTTTAGCTTTAGTTAAATAATGCACTAAATCAAAACGGCATATTAGATTTCCCTTTCTTTCTAAGACGTTTTGGGCAATAGATGCATCAAAGAATCAAGGGTCTAACAGAAACAGCCTTAGTTTTTTACGCGGGCAAGGCTGCGTTACATCTTATTCCTAGATTATCCTTCGAGCCTTTTTATTTAATGGGTCATACAAAATGAATTGCGGTTTTAAGCTGCAATCTTTCCTTGCATACCTTGCAGATGTGTCTATGCAAGATAAAATGGTGATTTTTGACAATGAGAAGAACGTTATAGGTTGGGCTCGTGCAAACTGTGATCACCCGCCAGTTTCCAATATTGTTTTCATCTAAACTCAATTTCCAGACTTGCCCTTTGTAATAATAATAACATTAATAATTATTATTGTAATCTTTATATGGCCCTGTTGGCCGAATACTGTTAATCTGAATGGGTAAGTTTCATTTTTTGATTGCTCACGCTGTAGTGCATGAGGTGGTTGATCTTCACATTTTGGAGACCTTTGTGTTGATGAGACATAATTATGCTGCGCTTATTATAAACGGGGTACGTAGTATACTCCTTGCAAATAAAATATGAAAGCATTTGTAATGAGCTCACATGTAAAAAAGTAGATTTAGTAATCAACAACCCAACTCATGATAAATTTAAGAAAAATGCAAAAGTTAAAAAATACAGTACAAAATGATAGTACCCCGTAATAAAAAATGAATTCAAATTAGATTTCAAAAATGTCACTGTAAAAAACTAAAAGGAATAAAAACTTTGGCCTTGTTTGAGAACAATGTTTTTTTAAATTATAGTTACACTATGTTTGGTTCAAGGAATTTGAGTGGGAAAGAAAAAGAAAGTGAGAAGGAAAACATTTTTCTTATTTGGCTAGAGAAGAAAAGAAAAGAAAAGAAAAGTGGAAGGAAAAGATAATGAGAAGGCAAAATGTATTAAAAAGATGGAAAACCAAATTCCTTTCATTTTGGTGAGAAAACTGAGTGAAAATAATTTTCTTTTCTTTTCCTTCCAAATTCCTTGAACCAAATATAAGGTTAGTGTTTTGGATAAAATTTTCATAGTATAAATTAATTTTGAAAGCGTCACCACTAAAGGTTACCATTAGGTAAATTTTTAAAGCACTGATGTTAATATCTAATGTTGATGACAAACAAGACCTTAAAGATATATGATAGCAAAAGTCACTTACTCCACTTTCTCTATCCATTCTTCCAACTCAGTTGATAAGCATGTCTCTAGTTTTTTAGAATTTTTTATCTAGTTTTTACGTATATAAATTTTATTTTTAACCGTAATTTCATACCAATTTTTTAAAAAATGAATTGAAAATAATTCTTCTCAAATTTTATAAACAACATGTGATTTATAGTAAAATATTGTACACCCCTCGACCTGGAGACATTGAGATCAACTAACCTCAGAATTAGTCTATTCTTTAGGACTTGAACTCTTAACTTCCAGTTTCTTTCAGTTCTTTCCAGTTTCTTCTAGTTTTTTCCAATTTCTTCCAGCTCTTCCAGTTTCTTCCAGTTTTTTCCAGTTCCTTCCAGTTTCTTCCAACTTTTTCACATTTTCTTCAAATTCTTTCTACTCCTCAACCAATTACTCTAAAAATGATATATTTCAATGTGATTATTATTATTATTATTATTATTATTATTATTATTATTATTATTATTATTATTATTACAACTGTTTTTAAACTATAGTTTATAAACTATTTTTTCATCTCACTACTTTTACGATTCATACTTATTATTTTTTTCTTCAACTTTTTAATATGAATAAGACATTTTTTTAATATTAGTCTACATGATAAAACAGGAAAACATCAATATGTTAAATTATACTAAAAAAAATTATGGATAAAATAGTTACATTGAATGTTTTATTAATATAACTTTTCATAAGACATCTTAGTTTTCCCTTTATTACTTAAAAATTGCTCATTTTTCTAATTTTTATAAAAAATATTGTAAGTCAAAAGAGCTTAGAGAAAAAAACTAAAATATGAGTAAAATATAAAAAATGTAAACAAAAAAGTCAATCATGAAAGAATATCTATGTCTTTCATAAAAAATATAAACAAAAAAGTCAATCATAAAAAATGTAAACAAAAAAGACATCTATGTCTTTATTCCAAAAATAGGAATTCAATGAAAATAAAATGTCAATCATGAAAGAAACAATAAGTTTGATTATGTGACATATATGATATTTAAAACAAAATGTTTTAATATATAAATTATAATTACAAATATATTATTTATAATAAATACTGCATAAATAAATTGAGGTATGTACAATTATGCAAATGAAAATGTAGGAATGAAGTGAGTCCTCTCTCATTCAAATTTTCTTATAAATGAAGTGAAAACTTATAATATTAAGAAAGAATACTCTACTAAAAATGAAGATCTCTATTCCATTATTAAAATTTATGTATGATGGTGAAATAGTAATGAATGCTTGTGTAAACATAAGAAGTCATGGTGAAACATTTGTTTCTCAATTGTATTTTATAATATAATTAAAATTATCATATAATGATAAATAGTTAAAAATAATGTACTTTTAAAATTAAATCATAAATAATTTAAGAATTATAAATCCTAAATTATCTAGTAGTTAAATCATACCATAAACTTAATATACTCGATCGAATGATCAAATTGTATATACTGTTGTTTTCTCTTTTAACACTTATATAGTTCAATAATCATCCCTTATTTTATACTTCCTCCGTTCCAAAGTATATTTCCTATTCAAACAACGTGCAAAATCTTGTGAATTTTAAAATCATTTTATTTATAAATTGGTATATAAAATAAAAAAATAACATATTTAAAAAATATATCAAAATTTCTATAAAATACTAGTAAGAGGTAAAATGTGATAAAAATGTTTTATTTTATCAAATGATCAATGAAAACATGCAAACTAACAAAAGTTATCGAGACGCTACAATAATAAAGAGGTAAACTATTTTCACACAGAGCAAGTAAAATTTTATTATAGTTTTTAAAATAGTTTAATTTTTATATTGTACGTCAATATTCAAATAATAAAATCAAAGCTAACTTCATTTAAACATTTTATAAACAAATATGAAATTTATTAAGAGGTGAAGAGAGTATCTTATTCGTTATTTTGAAATTTTGTTATAAATGAAGAGAAAAAAAATATAAATTAGGAAAAAATATTATCATATAAATGAATATCTTTTTACCATAATTAAATTTACTCATTGAATTCAAACCAAACTATTACTTTATTATTTTCCATTTCAAAAATTAGGTGGCATATTAAGTTTCAAAAAACCCCACATAAAGAGTATATACAACATGTTGACTTTCTAGATATTTAAATATGATTATTATATATAAAGGATACATAAGTCATAAAATCTGAATTTAGCTATAAATTTTTATGTCAAAGAATTTTAATTATAAGTCATCTTTTACTTTTTTTAAAATAAAATTGTTTGACAATTCCAGTAATTAATGTAAAGTTGTAAAATAAATATGACTTTTTTAATTTTTAAGAAAATAAGTTTTTTGTGAAACATATCGAATATATTTTTTATTTTTGGAAAATTAATTTATTTTATTTTTTTACTAATTGAATCTATTTTATCCATGTGTTTTTAACTCTTTTGTTTGAAGTCGTGATATTTTTTTTGTGTTTTATAGTTTTAGTTATTTTAGTCTACTTATAATCGATTATGGATGTTAGAATAATCCAAGAACTTGAAGAATCTAAAAAAATATTGATATAGAAAAATAAGTTATCCAAATCTATATAACTCTATTTAGAATTAAAACCACTCATGTTATAAGAAAAGATCATTTTGAAAAATAATAAATTAGAAAAGACTACGTACGTAATTATTACTTATTGAGAACTGATTTGGAAAATTTCTTATTAGAAAGAACCATTTTGAAAATTTACTCAATTTCTTTCTCTGTATCTTACTTTTAGTTATATTAGTTTAGTCAAAACTTTGTTAAGTTAAGTTCAATTTTAGCTAAATAAATTCTCCTAAAAATAATAAACTAATAATTTTAAAAAAATTCATATTTTACTTAAAAAAAAATTATATCACTATTAGTGTCTTTTGTTATGAATAATTCACTTAATTTTTTATTGAAAAATTATATTTTTTTATTTCATTCATATACTTAATTTTTATTGAATTTAAAGTCCATAATATTTTTGTAATATCAAATATACTGATTTAAACTAATCAAATATTTAAATATCAACTTCATACGGTTATAATAAATTATTTTCTAAAAATGATCAATAAATATTTAAAACATGACATGGACTCCGTATTTGTTTCTTGTGTCATGTCAATTAAGTGAATTATGAATAATTCACTTAATTTAAATTAGATTGACATAATTTGGTAATCCAATTATATTAATTTTATATCAGAACAAAATATACTCTTCTTTCATAACTCGTAATCCAAATTTTGGGTAGAGGGAATATAATTAGAAAATGAGATGATAAATGGATGATAGATTGATAAATGCGATATAACAAAAAAATGAACGGTTGGTTAAACTTTAAATCAAAAAATAACATATATGCAAATATATCTGAAATCGAAATATACTTGAAGCAAAATATATTCGTACCAAAATATGTCCGAAGAGGAATATACCCAAACCGAAATCTATCTGAACCATATCTAAACACACTCGAACGAGCATTAAACCTAATCAGTCCGAACAAGGAGTATAATATATATTCAAAAGATATCCTAACCAAGAATTATGCCAAACTGGAACCCATCCTGTTGATCGGATTACCACTAGTTGTCTGCTGTGAGATACTGCGAGTAAAAAGTCATTTCTCGAGCAGTATTCATACTGGCCTTTGATTCGTCGTTGTTTGAGCCTTGTTTGGGCATATCTGATCTGGCTGCCGAAATGTCAATTTGTAGGTGTGGATTTGCCCTCTTCAACTGCTCACAATTCCTGAAGAGACGGATAAGACGATCCTCTGTGCACAGCAGACCCAACTTGAATTTCTCTCCTATTTCTTACCTTAGCAATGAGGAGACTCGTTATTCAGTTCCAATTTCTGGGAAAGAGCCGTCCCCAATTGTTCTGAGCAGAAGATTGCTGACCCACTCCGTCTTAGCTGCTTGGCTTCTCCCGAGCTGCTCCGGAGCCATTGAAGGAGGAGGAAGAGAGGCGTTGGAGCTAGAAAGGTACACCCACCCTAAAGATGGTTTCACTTTTCTCAGACCCTCCTCTTGGATTCAGGTTTTATTCTTTGATCCTGGCTGTGTTTTGTTCAAACCAAGAGATGTCAATTTCCTGATGATTGTTTTTTGGACGTTCTTTTGGGGCAACATTTGCATTGTACATCATTTGCGTCATGTTTGATCTGCCCTATTTGTAAGGGGTGTTTCAGATCGTGGAGTAATCTTTGCTTGGGATCATTTGACTAGGTTGAGAAGGCCGGGGCTGCTGTGCTCTTTGAGGAAAACACAAAGCAGCGATCCAACAGTGTTGGGGTTGTGGTGAACCCAGTGAGAATCACAAGCCTAAGACAGTTTGGAAGTCCTCAGTTTGTGGCAGAAAAACTCATTCACGCCGAACGGCAAAAGGTTTGATTCTTCGTGTTTTTTATTTAAAACTGGGTGGTGGCCGGGAAGGTTCAAACTTTTACCTTTCGGTCAATGAGGGTTTGATACCATGCTAAAGAACCAATTCAACCAAAAGCTCAAACTTGTGGGTGTAGACCCAGTAAAGGCCTTTATACTCTAACACAATCAAACATCGTAAAGCAAATTAGGAACACCGTATAGGAGTGGAGGGAATAGTGTTTAAATATTAGCAAGAATAGAAAATCAATCAAAGCAAGTGAATGGAAGGTTTGAGTTGAGAGTGCATGTTTGAAAACATTACCGTACCTACGTTTACTTAAATTATCAATAGTTGATCACAAAAGCAAAAGCCGAACTTAAAGTCCTGCACACTCTTCGAATAAGAATGTAGAGAGGCTTGAATACCGAAGGGCCAAGGTGAGTTTGTTGATCCATTATTTGGCTTATCAACATCAAATCCTGCCAAAAACTAGCAAATTTAATCAAATTAATTATTATCAACAAAGGTAATGCAAGAGTTGTTATTTGTTTTATCAGGATCCTTGAGTGAGGATCCTAAATGCAAAAATTTCTTGATCTGCCAACTAGACCTGGGAACTTTTAAGGTGTTGATGTTGATTGCATTAAATTTTTTTACCCCGAGCTGTTATTTGCACTCCAAAAAAGTTAATTGTGCTCCACCTTTTCACTCTTTGTTGTAAATTGACAAAATTGTATTTTCATTTATTATTCATTTAAATAAAAAAGTCAAGTGATCTCCTACTTTGCAAAACTTTTGATATAATTTCTACATATTGGTATATAAATCTAGTTTTTAATTTTTTCATTAATACTTAAATAAGTTGAATCAAGAATCATTTCAGTCAAAGATCGTAAATGAAAACTTACGAGCTTTTCTAATTTTTATTTTTCAAGTTCTTATTATTGTGCTAACTATGGGGTGTAGTAGTTAAAACACAAAGTATCGTGGACATTATTCTTGTTAGCTTATACTTATGTCATGTTCTCTTCAACTTATTTTTTCTACTTATTACTTATATTTATCAGAATCAGATCAGACCATATCAGATTAGTTCAGCAACAACTTTAAAAAACACTACATTTACATCAAATCACATCGGCCTTAAAAAATTCAAATCAGACGAAGAGAATGCATCTTTAGTATATTTAGTAACAAGATACGAAGTATATGTCAATTTAAAGTTTATCACCTCAGCTTTGGAATTTCTGTTTATTAGTTATCTTATTGTGATGATATGCTTACTCATTATTGTTAGCTAATTGAGGATAAAAACATCTAGAGTTGAGATAAATATATGCAAGTCTCAATAGCGCATGAGTTCATAACGAACTTTGGTTTTTTTCATCCGTTCTTGAGTATCCATTCTTCTTTTTATTTCAGTCAAACTAAATAAACTTTGATCATCAAATATATAATAAGTGAATTGCATATTAATATAAATTTAAGTTCATTAGATTAATCTTGCAAAAGACCTTAAAAAATAATGCTCCCTCTCTCCAATGCCTTTGCCACTCTAGGGTGGGCGGCAATGCTCACACTAACTAGCGTCTATTCGGAATTATCTTCCGGGTTTGACTTGGTACGATTTTTTATAAAGTGGAATGTGGGTGGTTGTGGTTTGTGTAAAGGAAAGAGAGTTGATATGGACCACATATTTGTTTCCTTAAAAGGAAAGAGATTTCTTTTGGGACAACCCAAATAGGAAAGAAAGAAGATAACTATGGGATGCAGGGAACAACAACAACAACAACTCAGTTAAATCCCACAAGAGTAGGGTCTGGGGAGGGTGTGTGTACGCAGACTTTACCCCTACTCGAAAGTAGAGAGGCGGTTTCCAAAAAGACCCCCGGCTCAACGTTGAAAGGTGCATTGCTTGACTAATTGCTACTTCATTAATTAAAGACAGTTTAGAGATCCATTTTGATTTATTCCATCACACTCTAAAGCCAAAAAAATGGTGAAATTTTGGCTCCATCGGAGATGATGGAAATTTATGGGATGCAGGGAATACTATTATATTAATATGAAATGCATTTCTATTTAACTAATGATAAAAAAGGTTAAGGTGAATGTATACACTATGACAGAGTATTTTTATCTCAAATGGTAGTTTTAGCATTCAAAATTATTCCATATATGGAATATTTTCTACAAAAAAAGGGGCAGCAATTTTAATTTATGAATTTAATTTCTTCGAGTGAATTTATCATTGATTTTTTGAGCTATAGAGATGAAAAGGATGATAGTAGACGGGGCATGTGATGCATTTCATTTGAACATCGACAACACAATAAACTGTGGATGGGTACATCATCATTTATTGTCCTCACTTTATCATTGTTTCTTTGGGTATGAACTTATCATGTTGAGTAGCTAAATTCAGATACTAAATTCACAGTGAAAATTTCATGCAACTGACCCCTACGAGTTGAGCTTTAGGACATGATGATGATGATGGTGATAACCTGATCTTAACAATGAGACGGGTTGCATGCTTCGCTTTATTTGTTGCTTGAACATCATTATATTCTCTATGTCAATCTCGATCCATTCTTCAACCTGCTTCTAAGTCTTGAATTGTCCGTTCCTTTTATGACATGGCTTCAATTCTTGGTTATTTGTTTGTGTACCAGGAAAGCACAAAAGAAGTAGAAATGGTTGCAGTGTCTGAAAGGTGGTCTGGGAAGGGAGGCATTGAAGTTTATGAGTTTGAGTACAAAATTGATAGCAGTAGAGGAGGGATGAAGAGGATATTTGCTGCTGCTTTCGTCTCATCAAACAAACTCTATCTTTTGAATATCGCTCATTCCGATGGATTAGAAAATCCACTGGCCCCGGAAAGACGAAATTCTTTGCTAGAGGTTCTTCATTCCTTTGACATTGATCAACATCAGTATCCATCCTAGTGCACCCCCTCCCAAATAGTCCATTTTTCTGGGGCTAGGGCTCCCAATTTTTGTGAAACATATACGGAGGAAGCATATTAATAATTACTCCTTTTAAATGCATGCCAAAGATTCGAGGTTCAAAAAGCCCAATCTTGTTCAAGTTGCACTTATCTTACCGACCAATTATTATTATTATTATTATTATTATTATTATTATTATTATTATTATTATTATTATTATTATTATTATTATTATTATTATTATTATTATTATTATTATTATTATTATTATTATTATTATTATTATTATTATTATTATTATTATTATTATTATTATTATTATTATTATTATTATTATTATTATTATGGCCCTCTCAATGTGTGTGTTGGAAACAACATCCCTACTTTTGAGTAGGGGTAAGGCATGCGTATACACACCTCCTCACACTTTACTCTTGTGGAATTCAAATGAAATGGGTTTTGTAGTATTTTACATACACTTGGCAAAATGGTCAGTCAGGTCGGGTTCGATCGGTATAATCGGGTTTAGGTTATTTCAGGTTCGGGTCACTTCGGGTTCGGGTCTAAGACTGTTATTCATGACCTAAGGTTATCGAGTTCGGGTTGACCCAACAGGTTAAGAAGCGTATTTAAAAATTAAAAATTTTGCTATTTAGAGATCATGTGATCCGGACATTATTCAAAACAAAGAACGAAATCATAAAAGTTTGCAGTTCTATTTGCAACATACCAAAAGAGAATTGCAATATACCCAAAAAAAATCACCTTTTTGCAGCATACCAAAAAAATTGCACTACATGAAAAAAAATTGAAGATTTTTTCAACATAACCAAAAATATATATACGTTATAAAAAAATTGAAATTCTTGCATCATACCAAAACAAAAGAAGAATTAAAACTTGAGTTACACGTAGGAGCAACTGAAGAGGATGAAATAGGATTAAAAATTCCATTATTGTTCTGGTGTCTTCTTACCATTTTGATTGAGTCGACATCTAATATCCACGAACGTTGGAAGAGTGGGAGAACTATATATGTGTATATATATATATATATATGTATGTGTGTGTGTGTGTGTATATATAGATATATAGGGGCTGGTTCAAGTGAGAATACACCTTGGTGAAAGAAATAAGAATAAAATCTGGCCTTTGGATCTGATGCATCGTGCGGCTCAGATTGCATTCTGCACTCAAATTTTGAGATAGTGCATTTTCAAAGGATTATGGTGCATTTCGACATGATGCATTTTCAAACCATCTTGGTGCACCTAATTTTGATGCAATCCTAACCCTTAGATCTCCCAATCTAATGCACCAGATTCATTCTTATTTCTTTCATTAGATTGCATTCTCACCTGAAC